TAGAAGCAAGGATCCGCTGATGTCTTGTATTTAACTCTATGACTAATGCCAGAATAATACCAGAAAGTAATAGAGAAAGAGTATTCTTGATGTCACTGCTTCACGCAATACATGTATTTCCCGAAGGAGTAAGGAAAGCACTTATTTCGGGAGAGGGGCCTGAGGCAAATTTATCTTATAACACTTGTAGTTGTACTTGGGACTTTACATTACATAACATTACATATTAGGGATTTTAAGTAAAATCGACAAATCCTTTTCCATTGTCATAAGAAATCTCTGCTAAAGGATTCTGACTATATCATACACATGTGTATTTTTTTTAAAGCTTTGCTGAGGTTTTGAATGCTGTCACTCTAACCAAACAACTTTGAGCAAGAGTCAAATGACGCACTTTGAAATTTTCGTGGAATGAGCATCATCAGTTGTGCTTCAAAATGTGTAACACGTAGACATGTATCTACACGGTGTTTTATAACATGCGCAGGGACGGAATCACTTGTGTAACTTGATCGGGAATTACGTTCACAGGATTTTGTATTCACAACGGGTTCCTTCACCATGTGAGTCAGAGAAAATGGTATGTAGATACATATGGCAAAACCACTTACTGTTTAACACATTCAGGCGAAATGACTCCTCTTGGTCTGATTCTGCTTCGTCTACCTGCAAAGTGTTAACACACAAAAGAAAACAAATGCATCCCTAATATACTTTAGCATGTTACTGCAACCCTAAAGATTCTCATAGGATATCAAGAAAGAGACAACCTTTAGTTTGATAAATCTAAAGACTTCTACATTCTTAAGTATGAAACTTATATATGGGTAGAGTGTCTCGTTTGGCATGGTAATGTCATTTATGGCTTAGATGCATATACTCAGATCACTTACCTCGTATGTGTTCATTCTGTCTTCCATTTGTCACTTACAGTAACACCAACGTTTAGAATGTACTGTAGAGTCACGTACAGTAGAGTCACATATGTTAGACTTACTGGTTGTCACATACATCTGTAAAGCATGTGGAGGACGCACTGCATCTTGTCACGTGAGTCTGTAAAATCCATGAAGGGTGCACTAAGTGTCACACGAGGTTATTTGCTGTATGGGGAATGTGCTTCCTGTTATCACGTACAGTTGTATGTTGTAAGGAGGACGTGCTTCCTGTTATCACCCACGGCTGTATGCTGTATGAAGGACATGCTTTATGTTATCACCCACGGCTGTATGCTGTATGAAGGACATGCTACATGTTGTCAACAACAGATGTATGCTGTAGGGAGGACGTGCTTTCTGTTATCAACAAAAGCTGTAGGCTATAAGGATGACGTGCCTCCTGTTATCAACAACAGCCGTATGCTATATGGAGGACGTGCTTCCTGTTATCAACAACAGCTGTAGGCTATATGGAGGACGTTCTTCCTGTTATTACCCACGGATGTATGCTGTATTGAGGACATGCATCCTTTATCACCAACAGCTGTATGCTGTATAGAGGACGTGCTTCGTGTTATCAACAGCAGCTGTATGCTGTATTAAGGGCATGCATCCTTGTATCACTAACAGCTGTATGCTGTATAGAGGACGTACTTCCTGTTGTCACCGACAGCTGTGTGCTGTATTGAGGACATGTTTCCTTGTATCATCAACAGCTGTATGCTGTAAAGAGGACGTACTTCCTGTTATCACAGACAGCTGTGTGCTGTATTGAGGACATGTTTTCTTGTATCATCAACAGCTGTATGCTGTATAGAGGACGTGCTTCCTGTTATCACCAACAGCTTATGTTGTATGGAGGACGTGCTTCCTGTTATCATCAATAGCTGTATGATGTATGGAGGACCTGCTTCCTGTAATCATCAATAGCTGTATGCTGTATAGAGGGCGTGCTTCCTGTTATCACCAACAGCTGTATGATGTATGGGGGATGTGCTTCCTGTTATTACTCACGTCTGCATGCTGTAAGGAGGACGTGCTTCCTGTTATGACATACAGCTGTATGCTGTATTGGGGAAGTGCTTCCTGTTATTACCCACGTCTGTGTGCTGCTGTATGGAGGGTGTACTCCATTTTGTCACCTTCAGCTGTATGTTGTATTGATGAGGTGCTTCCTGTTAACACAAATGACTCTATGCTGTCTGGAGGTCGTACTATATTATTGCTAACCCACATTCACCGTGGCCGAAGCGGAACCCTGGCGCAGTTTGGAGATCACCAGAGCACACGGACATGTAAATGTGGCATATAACACACGTCGACTCATTACCTACGGCGATTAAGCCATGGTAAATGCCACATTAGTAACACTCTCGGGGCTACAAAACATAATTGTGTGCTCGCGTGTAAACCAATTACCTCATGCCACTGAATAGTAGTACCACTCCATATATAAGGACCACTCCACATGTAGTACCACTTCATGTACCAGTTTGTACATAGTACTGCCATAATAGTACAGTTCCATGTAGAACACCATTCGATATATAGTGCCAGTTCATATACAGCATCACAACAAAACGTTTTAGATATTGCAACTTCAAATATGGCATCGCTCAATATATGTCAGCATTGCATATATAGTAAGACTTTGTATGCAGTGCCACTTTTTATAGCACCGTTCTATATAACATACCAGACACGTGATCAACCACGCCAGAAGAAAAACATATTTTGGCGTAAGACATTTACTTAACACCTTCCTGTTGCAGGTGCTACGGTTTAAGATTGACCCTGAATCGGATCAGCGTTAAGGCCCATAAGTGTTGCGTTGTTACCCCATTATCGCACGGTGGCATTAATCGACAGATATACACTGACCTGAGTGGGGAACATTGTCAACGTATATTGCATATAGAAATCTTGTAAATCCAACAATTTGAACATAATTTCAATTAGTGATGTCATTGAACCTGTATTTATGTAATTTGTAATAACGGTAACGCTATACTTACCATTTGCAGGAGACCGAGGTCTGCCATAAACTGCCCAAGGACAACAGCAAATGGTCGGCAGCTGTGACCACAGATCGTCACCATCTGATGACGTCACTATAAGTTCGGATATCACTGTGTTTATTTCTGCCTTAAAATTGCAAGGGTAAAGAATTCAATGTTGCACTTCGCCATGGTACTCAACCCCACATCTACAATCTGTCGAGTATTTCCTAATCTAAATCAGTGTCGTTTTCTTCTAAATATGGGGGGTGGCACGGTGGGGTAACCTAGTCGCTTGTCTTGTCGATAACCCGGGTTCGATTCCCCATATGGGTGCCATGTGTGAAGCCCATTTCTGGTGTCTCCCATCATGATATTGCTGAACTAGTGCTAAAAGCGGCGTAAAGCCTACTCACTCGCTCACGCACTCACCCTCTAAATATGGACACTCCCTCATCGACCCATATCATATGCAGTAGATCTACAATGATTGTTTCTACCGAGTAATAGTGGTAGCTGAATTTATAGAGTGACCACCATTTGGCATGGTGTACGACTGTACTGTGGCGGGGCATGGTCTACTGCGGGCATGTAGATTACAGTGGTGCTGTGTGTCCTGTAGTCCTGTGGTGTATTATCTTCTAACCGCCAAGGGAAACGCGAATACCACACATGCTGGTTAATATATGAAGACTTACTCATATTCAAGAGATATTAGACTGGTTCGAACCACAAACGAACATACTGCTGTTATGTTGTTTGAACCGATGCTCATGAACGCATCATATGTGATGTCATACATGTAGATGCACGACTCGATATAAATCTTTTACAAAGATTACTACAGTAGCTTGTAATGTTTGGAAATCAATTGCAGCATATCGTGATAAGATTATATACACTTTGTGATAACACTTGACTGAGTGTTAGTTTTGTCATCAATTGGTACACATTGGAAACATCTCTTCTTATCATGCATACTTCTCTATATGTTTTTATGGTTCTCTTTCTTTTCGCGCAGAGTATAGTTCTGTTGTGTGTTGTAGTGTAGTGAACTGTTCACAATGCAATACATTTGAATTAATTAGATCATAACAATCGTGAAATTTGGTTCCATTTTAGGTATCTAGTTAGTTTTATAAACATACATGGGATTTACACTCGATGAGTGATTCTGGAAAACGTACAAACATATATACGGTTATCGGTCGCGGTTCTGTATGATGTATTCTGAAGCATATTGCCTTGATTCGATCTTAACTATGTTTATTCATATAGATCACTCCTTGTTCCAAGGAAGATCCAAAGAAACTAAAAATTATTATAACAAATGAGTAGAATATTCCTTGATAACGGTGTAACAATCTGCATCTCTAAGTGTAAGGAAAAAAAAGTTTTCTCACGAATTTTTTAAATGTTAATCATACAACTACCAGTTAAATATTGTGAACAGCCAGACGCACTTGATATAATCACTGATAATAGTCTTGACCGATTTGTGTATCTATCAAGCGAATGCATCGAGAAAATAACCCCCAGTCATTATCAATATTAGCTCTTTGTTTTCCAATCTATGTTTTCGTGTTCCTATACTTGAACAATGTTTGTTTTACAATCAATCAGTCGGTTGTCATAATATATCACATTTACACTCAGCACGTACTGAGCTCAGCATGTCTGCTTAGCTGTTGACAAGGAAACAAGGAAAAAACCCTTTGTTCTATGAAATTGAAAATGCATGATATTGATTCTGTTTAATATATTGGTTAAGCGGAAATTGTCACTGATGCAGTCATCCTAAAAACTCAGTCATTACCTAAACACATTGAATTCTTTTGAAGTATTGACGGGCTGTTCTCACTGTGCCGGCAGCTACTGTTTAGGGTAATTTAGCTAATCTACTCTTTAACAACAGAAGGATTAAAATGGGGATTGTCGTAACCGGGAAGTTCTGGTTCAATGGAAATTTCTTAAATTTATTGATTTCAGACATACAATAATTTCCAACCAAACAAGATGGGAAACGGAGTCTCCATACTCTAGTATTACAGATTCTGTCTCAGAAACCAGGCACATTTTTAGACGATCGAGTTCATTCGTATTGACATTCATGTAGATGTGATGGCCATTGATTGAAACAAGCAACTAATACGCATCGTGTGGTTTCAAATATACAATTTAACACCTACAATATCTACATGAAGCATAACTCTAAACTGAAGCCATATTATGATTACATATATTCTGCCATAACAGCATTAAATGCGAAGTCTTTGGTGTTTGCGAAAATAATGAGTGAAGTGGCGGGGTTTAAAACCAGTATTTTGAATAAGGTGTCGAGCTTAAGGAACACCATAATGGTCTATGAACAAGCTGCATTGTATCTAGTCAAACACGATTTATACACCAATGTGCTTTACACGCATATAGTAGACGTGCGACAATAACATCCGCTACCTCACAGGGCGACGTCGCACTTCAATTCAACCATCACAGGAACACCAAATGTATTTTGATACCCCGTCATCTGATGTCGTATTTTAATATTTGGGATACAAGCCCGAGTTTATATTCTGACCATTGAAATTAAGAAACGAAAATTGAAAATAAATCAGTCAATGTTGAAAGATAGAAACTATATATGCGTAAATTTTATAATTACAAACAAGTCCGGATTAGATGAAGATATATATGTCGGGTCAGGGAATACAACAAAAATTAATCAATGACCGATTGTTATGGCAACCATAAATTTAACGTATATATTACTCTGCAACTTTGACAATAGGGCCATGGTACTGTAGCTCATCTGGATGCGAGCAGATGACGTTTACAGAGCCAACAAAGCATTTGGAGAGAATGTAAGAGCAGATAAGGCTGGGTAGTCGCCATTGATAGTGTTTTCTAAATAGCTGCTTTTGTGGCCATATTTAAATCGGATTTGGGAACAAGCATGTGGTGTTTTCTGAGAAGACGTCTACAGAGCCTAGTGTTTAGGAGCATATAACAATATAAGAATATATAGCATCACACAAAAAGTGCTAAGCTACACTACTTACTCCAGATATACCAAATTTCAATACATTCGAAAAACAAATAGCTCGGTAATGGCCACAGATTTTATTACATGTCTGCTGTACTTGGGGTGGCTATATTGATAATTGGATTCGAACCTATTAAACAAATTTAGGGGCCATCATTGGCGAGATGATTTGAAGTTTCATCTTAATTGATCCAATTGTTGATGATGGTTTTAGTGCGAAGAAATGCATTTGAAAGAATTTTTAAGCTTGCTCAATGTTCAAACTGCAAAAGTCAAATAATGGTCAAATTAAGGTAAAAATTCAAAGTATCGCGAAAAGTGGAACGTATGTGTTGAGTACCACTACTGACTACACATGCATTAAACTTCATTACATTTTGAAAAGGAAATGTGAACTATCAATAGGAAGCATAAGCTTTCAGTATGGTCAAATCAAAGTCAAATTATTTAAATCGAAAAGAAAATTGGATACACGCACATACTAAATCTCTTTTTGTGTAAAGTTTGGTGTGAGAATGACTGCAAAATGGACATAATAGCTTTACATGCGTCTTTTTTAGCAACCTCAGGCGTCATCATTGCTGGGGAATAACTGTGTTTAGATTGAGCTTCATCGGACCAGTACTCTCTGAGGAGATGATGTTTACAGACCATGCCAACGACGGACGCCTTAAAAGCAGGCCATGACATTAGCTTATTTGACTTTCTTGAAATAATACTTTTGAACAAATCAATCACAAAACTACAAACGAGTGAGTGAGTGAGTTATATCGTCACATCGGCACTATTTCAGCCATAGTGACGAGAACAAGTTGATACACACACACGCTCACGCACACACACATACTCACACACAGACACATAACACTCTCACACACACACACACACACACACACACACACACACACACACACACACACACACACACACAAACACAAACAAACAAACAAACAAACAAATTTGGCCACCTCGCCATGGGGACTTATCTAAAAAACGAGTGATGGGTCAGTAATAAATGAAACTATTACTAGAAACTAAACATATTATCAAAGAGTATAAACCAGTCAAGACTTTTTAAGAATTTATTTTCTGTGCTTGAGGTACAACGTTTACGTGAGAAGATACTCGTTCATGAAGACATTTGGACAGTATTAGGAACAATGACACGTTCAAAACGCCTAGAATGGCTTCTGACAGAATTTCCAAAAGGAACTTTTGCCGACGCAATTAACGTACACATGCTAATATTATACATGCAGATAAAAAGGAGCCTGTAACTATTAGATGCACAGGGGAGGTAAAAAGATCAATACATTGAAAGATATCAAATATCAGAACTACTAATCCTGATTTCAATTACGAATAACTATATTTTTAATTGTAAGGAGGACGTGCTTCCTGTTATCACCAACATCTGTTTTAGTTGTTTTTGATTTGAACAAAGTATACAAAAGTGTGTAACGTTTATAGCGACATTAAACACTATTGGTAAGTGGAACAATCGTCATATATATTCATGCTCTGTACCGAATAGCAATACGATGTTACCAAACATCAAAGCATCATGAATATGTAGGTGTTAATTAGACTGCTAAAATTACATATGTAGACAAATGGACAATTGTTTCTTGATTTTGAGTATTCATCTTATCATGGATTCCACGACCAGTGCTTACGTAGAACATTATTTCGAATATCCCAATATACAATACATACTATTCTTTCCAGTAAAACCTCTAGAAACAAACACAAAATTAAACTCTTTTTCGTAAAACATCACAATAATCAATACCGAATCGAGGATTGTGTAATCTACATTCTTGATCAATAGCTATTGACCTACGCCACTCTGTTCTGACAGCCACATTCAAACCGTCTGCCTATATACCCATAACAGGAAGTCTAAAATATGTTTCAAAATTAAAACGAGAATAATAAATGAAGCTTGAAAATGTTCACCTTTACATTTCAAGGTGTAAAGAATACTATTACGGCATACTTACACAATGATTTATAGATACATTTCACAGTGCACTTACCGGGCTTTTTATACCATGTAATATCTTCAACCTGAAGAATTACAAATAAGTAAGAAGAATATTTTTTCATACTTTTTTTTATCAAGAGAATTTTGAGTATAAAAAATGTGAAAATCTAACATGGGAAATATACACAAAAACAATTGTAAGCTATTGACGAGAACATCTGGACAACTAACTTCACTCCTCTATGAGGGCAAATGCATTTATAATCCATTGTGACTTTTCTTGTCACAGTGTCATGTCTTGCCCAAACAGAAATAATCACTTCGACATCAATCAAAATATTAGTCTCCATGAACACACTATTTACATTCCCAATCCTTTCGTATAATTATGGAAAGGGTTTTAACGTTTGTATTTTCGAACTTATACAAATGATATTCTGGTGTAACGGCTGACATTAAACTTCACAAGTGATGAAGGTACACACAGGTAAGTTTCTTTACATAGGAGCGAACAATGCTGCCCTGGGTTTGGGGCGTCACTCTTCACGTGGGTTCCATTGAATTTTCTAGTATGATTACATTTGTATCAGATGACAGTTGGTGATAAATTCAATAATCATTAAGGTGTAAATAATTAACAATTAACATAAATAAAATTATCATATAAAGTATAGATTTCCCGACAGGATAAAGACAAATGTTGTGTCCGTTGGGATCATATATGGATAAAGATGCGAAAGTGAAAGGTCAGGTAGGTACTATTATTCAGCGTTTACAAACAAACATGGCGTTACTGTTATTCATCGGGGAATGAACTATCGGGAATCTGGAAGAACTACTGGGATCATTTTTATCACTATCAAAACAATAGTACTGGTCTCAGATACTGAAAATCAGTGTCTAACTGGGACGTAGCTATATATATAGCTGAGGTATTTTACAAGTTATGACAACTTTGGAAATATAAATTGCGAAACAATTTAGTGAACACACCAGCCTAGCGGGATTAGTTTCCATATCTGTTCCACCTTTTCGGCTTGGTACCTTTTCCCCAATTTTAAACAGTTGGATTTGGCCGAAAGATGTCCGAATTGTTAGCTTGTTTCATTCTGTCGCTGTGTGTACACCTGACGCCTCACTTGCTAGCGTTATGACAGTAGGGGCGGTCGGGTAGCCTAGTGGTTATAGCGTTCGCTCGTCACGCCGAAGACCCGGGTTCGATTCCCGACATGGGTACAACGTGTGAAGCCCATTTCTGGTGTCCCCCGCCGTGATATTGCTGGAATATTGCTAAAAGCGGCGTAAAACCAAACTCACTCACTCACTTATGACAGTAATAGGCAGGCTCTTAACAAACTTAACGTCTCATAGACTAGGGTAAGAGTAGCTTTACGTTGATAAAGTGCACTCACAACATACAAAAACTCTAGCGGGCGGACCTGTGTAAATGCCGTGAAGGGCAAGTTGAAACAATATGTGAAGGCCTCGAAAGGTTTCAGTTGGAACTATATTGACTCTTGTCACTGTCCGACTGACAAATCACCGATCTTCTCACGTCATATATATTAATGCGCACATTCAAGGAAAACGTGTTTAGGTATCGTATGTGAGAGGGTTTTTCGACGACAGATTTAAGAATGACATTATATCAAGGCTAGCTGAATACAACGTATATGCCTAATACAGGGTATTTACCATCCTGAAATATATTTTGCTTTGCACGGCTTTATATATCGAATTCGCATATAAAGGGAAGTGGATGCCAACAGTAGACGTCGTTGAACCCAGACACATCTCTCTCCAGACACTTCCCCCATCCTTGCCCACACTCAGCGTTAGGTTGATTCGGCCTCCATCTGAAGTAGGTTACATTGTCTCCATTCGAGTACTTCCAGCCGCCTTCCACGTAGCACATGCCATCGACGAAAGCTGAAATTATGAGTGAATTATGTCGTTTATTTTAGCTTTCTCCAATAAAATATGACATCTTACACTAAATAATAATTTGTTGCTTACTTTTTTATCTCATTTCTTGTTATACACAAAACCAATCAAATATAAATGTGCCACTTTTTCTAAATAAAATAACAGCCTACGCTGTAATGATGCGCCAGTACACCTAAATATATGGACTCTAACAAGGCAAGACAGAATATCGTTGAAAGACAATAGACGTCTGGATTCGACCCGTGAAGATTCCGCTTGCCGTAAAAGGTGACAATGCTTGTCGTAAAAGGCGACTAACGGGATCGGGTGGTCAGGCTCGCTGACTTGGTTGATGCATGTCATCGATCCCAATTGCGTGGATCGATGCACATGATATTAATCACTGGATTGTCTGGTCCAGACTCGATTATTTACAGACCGCCGTCATCTAGCTGGAATATTGCTGAGTGCGGCGTTAAACAACAAACCAACCAATCAACGACGTCTGGATTCAAACTTGGAACTGACGTGATTTCACAGGTCATTTCATACAGGACAAACATTTAAAGACTGTAACGTTATTTTCACTCTTTCACTGGTTTCACTTTGATGGTTACACGACGTATACTTTAACCGAGCGTATCGTTTGTCTGATTCGGGTACGAGGTAGAACTATAGGATATTCAATTCAATCCTCATATTACTGACAAGTTAACTGCGAACGGGAGAGTTATTTCAGAGCAGTCATACATGTGATGATTCGAGGCCTCCACATCCAATTGGACACACTTGTGTATTTAGATACCAAACGTGTATTACGAACGAAGATCTTAAAGAGCATTATACAAGTTTTGAAGAGGGTTACAGTATTCAAGGCCTTTCAAAATGTTTTATGGAAGACATATGGAGGACATTTTCAAATATGACGAATATGAGCTATTTAAGAACCAACAGAAGGCGATTCGAGGCCTTCTTTTACCTGCCTTGCTTCTAATCCATTTGCAGAGTGCTGCTTGGGTATCTATTACGAAACACCGAGAACCTGCCAGCCTCCAACACTATTCTGGATTCCACAACGAAGACAGGTCTCGTTCAAGGCGTGCAACATGACACTATTCGGAACATCCATAGGTGCACTAACATTCATGACAGGGCATGTTACTCATTGCAGCTGCTACTTATTCCACCCATTGTATTACCTTTTTTATTCTATACCAAAAACTGTGTTTAAATATAATTTATTGATTATTTATTGATTTGATGTGTTCATTTACTGATTTCACAATTTATTTATATGCAAACTGACATTAATCTCTGAGTTTCAATTTGGAAATCACTTCGTAACAATAGCCAGTACGTGATAATACAGCATCTATCATCTTGGACCCTTCTCTTGTCTTGGTCAATAAGTGACAAACATACACATATTGCAATTATCAAATCATATTTCAGGACAGGTTCCTAAGCTGTTGGGGACAGCTTCAGTGTTTGGTGTCTACATTCCACGTCTTTTAACGTACAATCGAGCATGCTCTTTCATCGAAGTATTTTAACGCATTGTTGACCAAATGATGTCAGTTGCAATTACCTATATTGATTTCTACCGTATGTTTTTCAGGTGAACAATTGGCTTGCCTTTGCATGTGATTGTGACAAGTGCCACCGGTGGGGCAAGATGCGCTGACCTTTTCACGAACACCTGGTATCTTCTGTATGTGGTAGTTATTCATAAACACACGTGTAAGACACAGTCAGAATCGTTGAAGAGTGAGAAACGAGACGATAAAACAATAATCACGGTATCGTATTGATGCCGTAAATCTACACAAATAAAGAATGTCCCTTGCACAAATTTTAGTGAATTGATAAGTATTCATCAATGCAGTATATGGTAACATATTTTATATCATCTTTGACTCATCAATGCAGTGACTCAGCAAGTGACAAATACAAAATTATGATATTGAAAATTATGATATCAATATCAGATAATCTTATATAGCAGGATACAAAACATTCCTGGAAAGAAAGTCTAGGTATTGGACTAGTACTTCCGGAAACAAAATATGAAAAATGTTTTTTAGGTTTTATGTGACTGCTTACTTGTTTGGTGTGGCCAAACCACAGACACAAATTCATCCTTTGCACTTGAAGTGATTCTGATAAGATGACCTCCATCGGAGTTACAGTTTCTGTGAGCTTGTATCTGTGTCTCAGTACCACCGTGTATTTTGAAACATACATTCATCGTGGAATTAAAATCATATCCAAGATGACTTGGACAACCATATCCCTCTGAAAAAAGAAAATCCTTTATTACGGCTATGGCAACTCGAAATAGGTACGTCTAAATGGAAATGTTGTGGCCAAAACAAAACATGTGTATCAATCATACTCTGATCTTTTTTAGTCTTCAGCAACCCATGCTTGCCGTAAAAGGCGACTATGCTTGTCGTAAGAGGCGACTAACGGGATCGAGTAGTCAGGTTTGCTGACTTGGTTGATGCGTGTCGTCGATCCCAATGGCGTGGATCGATACTCATGATATTAATCACTGGATTGTCTGGTCCAGACTTGATTATTTTCAGACCGCTGTCATATAGCTGGACTATTGCTGGATGCGGCGTTAAACAGCAAACCAACCAACTTGTCTTTTTTTCCACAAGGAAACATTACAATCTTTTGAAGCAAAATGTTACACAAACGAGGTGACACTCGTACGGTTTGGAGCAATGCTCTGAAACTCAATTCATGCGGACGCTACGGGTTACGGTGTATCAGCCTGCCAAACATTCATGTAATACTAATATTGTTAATATATATATATATATATATATTTATATATATATATATATATATATATATATATATATATATATATATATATATATATATATAAGTACGTGTACATGTTCTTAGTATATGTGACATGGATACACACTTAGAACAAACAAATGTCATACATCAAGTTTGTCGAAGCCTATTATACAAGATGTCTCAAGATGAGACAGCATATATATTCATATATACTTGTTAAAGCCCCGCCCTGAATATAAATAGCCCGCAAGGTGTCGGTATTTTATTTTCGAACAGTGACTGTGTCGAGAAAAGCTTTTCTAAGAACCGTACGTAAAAAAAATCACCAAAGACCATCAAACATGATAAACCTTGGATACCACAGATATCTTCATAATATTATATAGATAGACCGCCTCTTTGGTCTAGTGGTAGAGCGTCCGCCCGGAGAGCGGAAGGTCCGGGGTTCGATCCCCGGCCGCGTCATACCAAAAGACGTTAAAAGATGGTACTTGTTGTTACCCTGTCTGGCGCTCGGCATTAAGGGGCTAAAACAAGGACTGGTCGGCTCGTAGTCAGTATACTGTGTCTGAGTGGGGTATTCATGTTAAACTGCGGCATGGTATCTCAGTGGGCTAGCACTATAAATCGGCATCAGTCTGGACTAGTACAAGCAGCCACACAAACACACACACACGTACATGCACGTCGCTATATAAGTGCAATAATCTTGGACGGGACGTTAAACCCAATTTCACCTTACCTCATATATAGATACATACATTTAAGTCAATAAATGTTTTGTAGTTTTATCATAAAGCATCGAATCGGTCGTGTTTGAGCGTCTGCCTCATTCATTTTGGGTGGAGCTTTTTATGGGGATTCCTTATAAATAGCAAAGCACATGGCCGTGTGGATATGTGACACATTCGATGCATTTGTATGGGCTCAATACCCAGACATGAGCCGATACATTTTCTCTAATTGTAACATGAAAAATTGAATCGGTCGCGTTTGGGCGGCTGTATCAATCATAGTGGGCGGAGCTTATTTAGGGTTGCTCTGAAAATAGCAAAGCACATGTGGACATGTGACACATTCGATGCTTTTTATGGTCATATTGTATTGTGTTGTATTTATTTACGGATGAACAACAGCACAACAACAATTTCGGTAAATGTAACAGTAACGATACATTAATACGACATTGACGTTAGTTCCATATGTTTTAGCGAAAAGATTCTTTCAGTTCAATCCGAAAGTGACAGGTAGCCTAATTATTTAGTTTTGCATTCAATAGTTATCAGATTATATTTTTAAAACTTAAACTTTTACACAGATTTTTCAGGTGTTTAGGAAGAGGCCTAATTTGGAACACCAGAAGTTGCACCAATATGTCTTAGCTTGACAACAATCTATGAATATATCACGTGTATCAACATAACAATGCACATAACCAACTGATAAATAAGTAGATATTTTGTAGATATAAAACTAGATGTTTTGACCTACATTAGGCCTAACTAGATATAATATTGTACTTACAACAAACGAAAATCCCATACACATATTCCAAGACAATTTTAATTGTGGATTGTTTTCTTTCACAAATTTTCATACACAAAACTGAGTTTGATCATTTGATTTATGTCCCATGTATTTTTTGTTCTGTGGATTTGGATACACTTCACAGACAAGTTTTCAAACACAATTTGGCATCACTTTTCACTTTGTCAATCATACCAATCCTTCATCTGCTGCGACGTTTGATATCCGTTTCTTCAAGTCTAAATATCTGGGACCTCTCAATAATAATAATAATAATAATTTGTCTGATGATCCTTTTGTGAAGCATGTCAAGACTCATGATGAAAACAAGGCATTCCACAGTTTTCTAAAACGAGCCTAGGATGTGGGACATAATCCCCGATGTCGGTGTTGATTTTGTTGATGGTTCTGTACTGCTGGACGGTACAGAAATGAGTGTCAACCAAGCGAAGTGCCATATCAAGTCGACCCAGACTCAGTTTTTAAAGGAGAGGCTATCTGAACGACCACTGCATCGAATTTATGTGCAGTGTGGTGAGAAGATCAGCAATCCTGCAGAATCCTTTCTCTGGATGAAGTCGTCTGGCCTGAAAAGTGCAACAGCAGGCTTTCTGTTTGCTGCTCAGAACCAGTCACTTCCCACTCGAAACCGTCAATATGTGATTTTGCATCAAATTGTAAATATGAAATGTAGATTATGTAATGAATTTAATGAGACTGTCCAACACATTGTCAGTGGATGCCCAGCTTTGGCACAAACACAGTATCTTAAACGACATGATGGTGTAGCTCGATCATTTTATTACCGTCTTCGCCATGCCTGTGATTTTGACACAGAGGTCCACCCATGGTACGACCCGGAATATGTCATGGAAAATGATAAATACAAAATTCTTTGGAATAGGCCCATTTACAGCCTCAGACGTATCCAGGCCAAGAAAAATGATCTTGTCCTTTTTAATAAATCCAATGAAATCATTTATATCATTGAATTTTCTGTCCCTTTTGACAGTAATGTGATTGACAAGATTGAGGACAAACATGGCAAATATGCAGACCTCGCTTTCGAAATGTCACGCTTGCATCCCAAGTACCAAGTTGTCCGACTCCCCATTGTTCTCGGTGCCTTGGGTTTGGTACCTCCCAATCTGTTGACTGACATCGGGGGAGTATCCGGGTGTGCTACCAGGAATTCAGCCCTTCTGACAATCTGGGTAATGCAGAAGGCTGCAGTGTTGGGGAGTCTTCATCTTCTTGGTGGGTTTGACTATCCAGTATCCAATAGAAATTTCTGCATAAAGCAGAGTCGATTGTACAAGGGTACAATAACCCCCCTTGTCATACAGTCTTGTGGAGAGTGTTTTGTCACTCTGAATCTTTATGCAGAGACCTAAATATGAAACAGATGAGGAGGTCTCACTGGTGTCCTTTATTTCTAGTTCAGGTGGGTAAATCAGTGGAAGGGAATTGGCTATTTGATTGTTATTTAACGATATCAGATCATCGATATACCTGAAGCTTAAGTTAAACTTCTCGAACAACTCCTCCGTCAAATTAAGCGTCACACGAAAATGTTTTGTTGCTCATATTGAAGACAAGCGAGCAAGCGACATTTGTGGTCAGCTTTACTCCAATTCAGAGAGATCGGAGATCGCGTAGTCGGAATGAAGGCAAACAAAAAGTTTTAGGAAGTAATTAGAAGAAATCCGCAATACCATCCAAAAATACCACGCACAGCATGTTTTCATAATAGTATTCACGAAACCAATTCTTTACTAAAAAATGCAAATTAATGATTAATTCATCCCGAGTTCATAACCCTGATCACGTGGGTGAGCGTGTGTGTCGAAGGAATCTTGTGGTGAATGAAGCTGTGTGTATTACATTGTTGAAATTAATTGATCAGGAAGATTGTAGAGACATTGACATTATGAAAGATGCGCGTCATGGATGGAGAAAAAATGAATCTGAGAGTAACTTTGTTGCTTTGACCTGCGAGACCAAAACATGTGTTCATGCCGAAGTAATTACAAGAGAGGATGATCCCTGTAGCCAGCGACCTGAATAATCTTGATGAAACTAATGTTGAAATCCATGTTCACGTACATGACAGAATTCGTTTGAACACTTATATATCTGAACCACGTTTCGACGTATGTAAGACTGTGCATGTTTTATCTTAGTTTCCCATCTCCATTCCGACGTGAAATAATATAACGTTTTCGTATCACAATTTTTCCGGCCGCTGTGGAAAATTATGCACCGATCTGATATAAACAAAATTACTAAAACACCATTGTACCGTCATAAACAAAACCGGTCAACTTTATATTTCTTCAGCTGCTTATTACAGTTTCGTTTCCGAAGAAAAACGGCTCGATTACCGTCATAAATTAATTCTTTGACTCGTACCAAGTGTTTTTAATTATTTTTTTAAATGTCATTGTCATTGTTTTTGTTAAATTTCATATTTCACCTCGCGTCCGCTCGCTTGTAAACCTACCGCAAATGGCCCTTCCTTAATCAAAATTCAAAATGGACTAATGGACTCAACATCGTAAGAAATTATAGACCCTCTTTTTCTAAATTTACAAGGGTTCATTTTCAATAATGCGCAAACATCTCACACGAATGAGTCAGGCATTGTCATCAAAGCTATCTGACATGTTTTTATTATCGGTTTATGTAGCTACAAACTGTCCAAAATGTTTTTATGCACAAACACTGCCCTGTCCTTTGTACGGAAGCGTAGTAGGGCCACGGTGAGTTTTTTTCATTTTCATTGTAACTGTCTCTCTGCATATACGGATTGATTTATACCTTCAGTAAAAATCTCTCATAAATATGTCAGTTTCTCTTAAATACACAATGTCACTCGCCTAATAGAAAGTAGTATCTAATTACAGAGTCGGCCTAGATTACAGGTGAGTCTACAATACCTGCTCTCGTTC